AGAGAACACTTCACAATTTGTATTTGTATCCTGCATAGTCTCAAGTGATTTAACTTGTTTAATGGAATTTGCTAGTGTTCAAATATTTGTAAAAATATTTTCACACAATTGAGACAAAGACTCTCCTTACAATTCTACCACAACAATGAATGTTTTAGTTGACTACTCTAAAAGCCAGAAGTGAGCTCTCTCTCATGATCCATCAAAGCTCAAATTCTTCTTCTAGGCTACATTCTGATTTCCGTACTCTTATAGCATACTAAATTATTCCATAAAGATTCCCATTGGCTTCAATGTCACATCTAATTTTGACACGTGTGGCTCATGCAGGCAAGCACAGGGATGAATTTTAGCCATATTAATATTGAACAATAGAATGTCATGGAAGAGCAGCAGTTGTAAGAACAGCATTGTTCTTCTTATAGAACAGTGTACCAAAATTAATCCAGGAAATAAAATGAGTTTCAGTGACAAGTCATGCAATGCAAAAGTAGGTAACACTTGGGCAAATAATTAGTTTTAGTACAGTGAAACGATGAACAAAACTGGTATTTGGAGAACCTTAAAAGGTTTACAGATTACGTTAATAAGTATGAATATATTACTATTTCAACAACGAGATATGAGATAACAATGAGATAACTTACTTCATTCTTTTTCATTAATTACTTAATTTTATTGCCATAGCATCTAGGAGTTTTCATCATGGATCAGGACCTCTTCTTGTTAGGAACTGTGCACACACTGAAGAACTTGGCAATAAGCAGAACTTTATGAGCTGATGTGTGGATTAGTTTGGTAGCACATCACTGCAGGTTTAAAGACTATTCTAAGTTACAAGAAGAAGGGAAATAAGACTGGTGGGTCTCATCCCTGTTAAGTACCTCATAAATCTACCTTACTCAGCATACTTGGTTGTCCCTATCAGAAGAATTCTCAAAACGCAAGGTAGTTGCAGGTCAGCAGCACAGGGACACACGGAGAAGTATAAGCAATTGTTCCTATGCATGCCATGTTTCATTAATATGCATCTGAAATAGGTCTTATATATACACACTCAAAAGCTATAGTGCCAGAGCTCATTTTTTAGCAGTTTGACATGTTTCCATATACAAGAATGTCTCATTGAGCCAAAACTCTCCAAATTTTGCAGCATATTATAACTTTTGGAAGCAGCATAAGCTCTTTTTCAATAGTGATATTGGCACAGTAATACTATGGTCTGGCCTACACTTAAAAATTAGATCAGCTTAGCTATGTTGCTGAAATCTCTGAAAAATATTGAGCTTTGAGCACCATGTTAACATTTACTGGTGTAAATGCAGCCAAGTTGACTGAACTAAGTTCTCTCAACCTAGCTACCATCTCTCAAACAGGTAGTTTAAGTATATCTATGGAAAATGTAAGAAGCCTCTACACTAGAGGGCTACAGTGGCACAGCCACAGCACTGTTGTGCAGACATTGCTGAACTGCATCTTTATAGCAAGCTGAAAGAGCTTGTCTTCTTTGGAGTGTTTTACTTCATGTTAACGGATTGCCAAGACTCTAAGTTAACAAGTGTGCAAAGACTGCTAAGTTAACAGGTGTGCAAAGACTGGTGTGGAACCTCCCAAACCCTTTGATCCAGACTGCATATATTTCTTTGCCCTAGGGTAAACTAGAAATGTTCATAAAGCCTGGAATATATGTTTGTGGAATGTTCACAGTAGCCTTTACAAACACATTACAGGCAGTCCCCGGGTTACATACAAGATAGGGACTGTAGGTTTGTTCTTAAGTTGAATCTGTATGTAAGTCGGAACTGGCATCCAGATTCAGCCGCTGAATCTGGACACCAGTTCTGACTTATATACAGATTCAACTTAAGAACCCCAGGCGTCCCCAAGTCAGCTGCTGCTGAAACTGATCAGCAGCTGATTCCAGGAAGCCCGGGGCAGAGCAACTCTGCCTCGGGTGGGGAGCGCAGATCCCAAACAGCCGCTTGCCACCGCTTGCTCCCCTGCCGGGGCCCAGCTGAGGGGCGCAGCACTCAGTGCCATGGCGGGAAGGGAAGGGGGGGCGATGACGTACATGGCCACGCCCCCTGACTGTGTACGTCATCACCCTGCCCCCCTTCCCTTCCCTCTGTGGCGGCTGGGCTGAGTGGGGGAGGAGGGGCTGGTCGGTGACATACACAGCCAGGCGGCGGGGCCTTGTACGTCACCGCCCCCCTTTCCCTCTCGCTGTGGTGCTCAACTGAGTGCTGCACCCCTCAGCCAGGCCACCGGGGGAGCCAGCAGCGCAAGGGGCCATTTGGGCTCCCCTGCCGCAGGAGGTAGGGAGGCGCGGAGCAAAGCCGCGCAGGACCCGGCCGGACCCGCGGTGCTTCCAGCTGATCTGGAAGCGGCCGCGGGTCCGGCCGCGGGTCCTGCGCCGCTTTGCTCCCCGTCTCCCTGGTCTGCTGGTTCCCGCAGCAGACCAGAGAGAGGGGGAGCAGCTTTTCTCGCCCCAGAGGAGGCGGGTGGCGGGACCAGGCATCCCGCCGCTCGAGTCCTCCAGGGCGAGAAAATCCCCGTTCGTAACTGCGGATCCGACATAAGTCGGATCCGCGTAACTCGGGGACTACCTGTAATTACCTCAAGATAACGAGTAATCAGATTAAGGCAAAAATATTGATGTAGCTATATCCTAAGAGAGTTGAAATAGCAGAGCTGCAGTAGGGGAAGAAATCAATGGTAGGTTGTACACTTAGTAAGTGAGGAAAACATTTTCTGTGGTGAGCTGAAACTTTGAAAATGAAGGAGAAGTGGTTAAAAAATCCATGTTTCAAAAATACCCTTCAGCAGAATCTCACCTTATGGAGCAGAATTAGAGTAGAACAACATTTACTAGCTCTCTATTATCCATCTCTCTTTGTGAGTCAAACCACCAGCCACCTGGGGCTGATAATGGGTGGGGAGACTGGAGCTGAAGCCACAGGCTGACAACAGGAACACCACCATCCATTTACTGATTTATTCAGATTTAACTATCCATTTTGGCCGCAGTCCCATGTAAATCATGTAAGAGGAATTTCAGTATATTGATAATGTCGAAAACATAGCCACAGACAAACCTGAATAAAGAACTGTAAGTAAAGCTGTAAATACTGTAAGGAAGACAGAAGCATCAAAATCATTGGAAAGAATGCCCAACATCGTGGCAAGTCTTCCACTGGAGTCTGCAAATTCCTGTGAAACAACAGGATGCAATTTTGCTCCTCATGCATTGGACTATTTAGCTGCATGAGAATACATACGATGCCTGATGTCATCACTAGATACAAAGGACAGCCATACTCAGTGAATGAAAATTAGAATAAAAGAATTTCATTCTCAGCTCTATTTAGTCTTCTGGATCATGCATTCTCTCTGAGTACCCATTTACAGGTAATTAATTAGGGCTTGGGGATTTTTTTAACATTTAAAAAATACCTTTCATGTGCTTTTTTGCAGTTCATAAGAAACTGACACTGGTTCTCAACATACATCTCCAATGTCAGCAACCCAGAGTGAATTCCAACGTCATGCTCACATCATTGTTCTTCAATTAGCAAAGTATTTTTTACAACAATGTGTTCCTTATTAGATATAATCTGCAAAGCAACAAATGCATTCATCAGGCCATAACAATGAAAAGAAAATCCTCCCCATTCATATCTGTTGCAAGGTACTAACAGAAAGCCTGTGACAATAAATGTTCTTGTAATGTTAGTGCTGAATCAGCAAGGTACTAAAAGGCATGCCTAGCTGTAAGTGCTGGAACTGTGTAGCTCTGGCACAGTCATCAGAACTGTAAAATTCCTCATGTCCTGAAGAACCTTGCTGAATTGGTGCCATAATGAGCACACTTTTCTAATTAGTTATATTTACTTGTTGCAATTATATGCCTATTTTTATTTCCTTATATAAATGTATTTAGACACTCTTAAAAACACATTTCCCTGAGCTTTAGACACTTTAACATCTGTTTAAAAATCATATAGAAGCAGAACAGCTACACAGATCCTTCTACACTGCCCCCTAATACATACAAACACCAGGCAGCAAGTCATTTACAAATCAAATCAAACTCTCCTCTTCCTTTCACATTTACAGAAGAACCCCTTTCTTCAGTCAGCTTAGCCCTCCTCCAGTGGGTGATACAAAAGACAGTTTTGCAGCATATTTGGGAGATAAATAAATTCTGGTGACTTTGGTGCAAGAGAGCAAGAAGATTGTATTCTAAAATTATGAGGCTTTTCTGGGGAATTACCTGACAGCAACTCCCTGTCTTCCATGCCAAAGGAGCTGCAGAGTTCTAGGCAATATGGCAATTACATTGCTGGCAGCTGTTTATGTCTTGTTTACATCACTGTTCCCACCATTGGCAGAGTGGCTGTTATGAAAGGAACCGTAGGGGGGAAAAAAAGGTCTAATGCAGACAAACCTGTAGTCTTCTTAGTGAAGAGGAGGCAACATTATTACTTGAGTCATTTAAAAGTAGTCTGAACAAAGCACTGGAAAATATACAGTCCAGGAAAGGGGATCTTTTCCATAGCTAATGTTTATGATTCTGTTTATGATTTATCTATCACAAAGAACCTGTTGCTACCTGGCAAGAATCTATTATTGGGCAAATCAAAGTAAAATTAAAGGTATATGTTTACAAAAATTAATACATTATCTACACCCCTAGTATTAAAAGCACCATAAGTAACACTTTATTTACTACAGGAGCAACATATCATAGGTCTCTTAGCTCTTTAGATTAAGGATCAGCAATCCCAGGAGTAATTGCTTTATAGACTGGATAAAAAAGCCAGCTGACAACACTTTTGCTTGTAAAGAGATTTCCTAAGTATCTTGATCCAATAAATGTAACAATCAGCCACCTAAAACAAATTTGGGCTTGGCAGTAATCAGGTAAAATATATGATTTGATTTGGTAAAAGAGCTTTAGCTTTGATGCATTTTAAAAGGAAACATCTTTAAATGCTTACCTTGCTCAAAGAAAATGTTGAATAAAAACTCCATCTATGTGGCTTCATAACAGCAGATCTCAGGAAATGCCATCTGGAATTTTGAAAGAAGTTAGTTTGGTATTTTACAGAAATGTAAACTTCAGTATAATGGCTGCTTTTGATGAAAACACAAGCACGGTTCTATTCCTGGCTTTTGATATGGATCTTTATAAAACTTTGTATAAGATACCTAGAACATTTTTGTGCCTCACTACTCCAGCTGTAAAAATGGGGCTAATAATGATTGTCCAATATGTAGTGCACTTTGAAATAACCAGATAAAGAGCATTCTTTCCATGCAAAATATTATTTTATGGTAGCTGGTTCATCACTTTGGGACCTGATACATATATAGAGAGAGAGACAGAGACAATAAAGCCATAAGAAACAGTCAACATGGGTTTGTCAAGAACAAATCATGTCAAATCAACCTGATAGTTTTCTTTGACAGTATAACAAGCCTTGTGGGTAGAGCAAAAGTGTTAGACAAGCTATATCTTGACTTTAGTAAAGTTTTGATTCTTTCCCACATGACCTTCTCATAAATAAACTACAGAATTGCAACCTAGATGGAGCTACCATAAGGTTCATGAATAACTGTTTGGCAAACCATTCCCAGAGAATAGTTACCAACAGACCATAGTTATGCTGCAAGGGTACAATGAGTGGGGTCCCACAGGGAATAGTTCTGGGCTTGGTTCTGTTCAATATCTTCATCAATTATTTAAATAATTACATAGTAAGTACAATTTTACATTTTGCAGACAATACCAAGCTGGGAGGAGTTTCACGTGCTTTGGAGGATAGGGTTAAAATCCAAAATAATCTGGACAAACTGGAGAAATGGTCTGACATAAATAGGATGAAACTGAATAAGGACAAATGAAAGGGACTTTAGGAAGGGACAATCAATTGTGAGCATACAAGATGGAAAATGACTGCCTAGGAAGGAGAACTGCGGAAAGGGATCTGAGGGTATTTGTGGACAAAAATCTAAATACAAGTCAACAGTGTAACAGTGTACTGCAACAAAGTGAACATTATTCTAGCATGTATCAGCAGAAGTATTGCAAGCAAATTATGAAAAGTAATATTCCATTTCACTCTGCACTGATTAGACATCAACTGAAATATATTGAGTCTAGTTCTTGGCACCATATTTCAGAAAAGATGTGGACAAATTGGAGAACGTCCAAATAAGAACTGCAAAAATTATTAAAGATTTAGGAAAATTGACTTATGAGGACAGATTGGGGAAAAAAACAGGTTTCTTTAGTTTGGAAAAGAGAAGACTGAAAGGGGGACATGATAGCAGTTTTCAAGTACCTTAAAGGGTATTACAAGGAGGAGGGAGAAAAAATGTTCTCCTTGACCTCTGATGGTAGGACAAGAAGCAATGGGCTTAAACTGCAGTACAGGAGATTTAGATTGGACATTAGGAAAGACTTCCAAGAAAGGTTATGGAATCTCAATCACTGGAGATTGAGAGCATATTAGCCAAACATCCATCAGGAATGGTCTAGGTAATACTTAGTCCTTCTATGAGTGCAGGGGACTGGATAGATGTGGTCTCAGGATCCCTTCCAGTTCTATGATTTTATATGTGCATTTAGAAAACAAGCATCTACATGACATTTTTGAAATATTAAAAATGTCTTCCCTGGATTATTGTTCAATCTAAAAGTCACCAAGAAAGAAAGCATATTCCTCCTTATGTTTATTATATACACATAAATTTGGTGCTCAGATACAAGAGCCTTTCCCTTTAGGGAGTGAGGGAAAAGCGTGCAGTTTGCTGCATTTCTCACTCTGGCTGGGCAGCATGAGAGGGGTGGAGGAAGAGAGAGAGGAGGGGAAGGGCAGATGAATCTGGACGTGCTCCTATTGGAGATCATGCACCTCTCTCCCAGCTGTACTTGCAGGAGCTGCAGCAAACATGGAGAAGCCCCAAAGTGCTGCAGCGACAAAGGGCTGGAGTAGTCCTTTCTCACAGGGCAGCCTGCATATTGAACTCCTCATCCTCAGCCCTACCCCAGAACTATGCTTTACATTTTCATTTTATTTTCTCCAAAAATAAAACTGAAGTAAGGACCTGAACAATGCCAGGTAAATCTTCTAGTTTGATATACTGCATTTGTCATCAATTGTATTCTTGATAGCCTCAGCTACCCTCTGCTCATTAAGACTGGGATTAACTTTTAATATTCCCAATATAGGAGCAGATTCAAATGGCTGATTTTTAAATCTGCCTTCCAAAAGGATTGGCCTTTCTTTCCACAAAAGTTAAACTGGCCTGAGGTGGAAGTTAGACAATATTCAGGGATGGATTTAGTAAGAAGTTTAAAATATACTATCTTTTGATCTACTAAGAGGAGGTACTTGCAGGAGCTGCAGCAAACATGGAGAAGCTTTATACCATTGAATTTAGGATGTTCCTTGATTCCCATAAAACATTCAGTCTTCATTTCTAGCCCTGTAGAAAGTGTGATTGGTGTACCTGACACTTTGGGATGTCTTAGGATAACATGCGTGTTGTTAGAACTTTGTAGCAAACATGTTTTAACTATCTTTCTAAAACTTCCTTCCGGGCAAGGAAGTGTAGATTTCTATCTGTGATTACTGATCAGGCTGAATTCAATTGGTTTAACATGGTCTAGTAACTAGTATAGATACATAGTTTAGAAAATTCCAGATAGCAGTGTAATTCCCCTCCTCACACCATCTTTTACTCTACTGAAAGCCAATATTTTATTTTGGCTGCATCATGATTGTTTATTGTTGCATAATTTTGATCATCACAACTCTGTCATTCCCCAAATTCCATAGCTATGTTTAGCTAAGCCCCAAGTGCAAATGCACCTATGTCAACAAAAGAATGTTTCCAGCAACTTAGTGATATTCCAGGAGGGGGATTACCAAAATGATGGGGGACAACCCTGCTATTGTGGAAGGAAACTTTTATACTATGCACTACTGTGATGTAGACATGGCCTTAGCTTTCTGTAAAGCCTTTTTCTTACTTTACTCAGTTATTATATAATGTTAGTTTATATCCAAGATGTGTTCAGATGCCAATGTAATGGTCACACGATGTGTCACATAAATAACTAGATTTGAACCTTAAAAAATTTTAGATAAGCAGAGCATTTCACAGCTCAGGTGTTCAAGTGAAAGGGTGTGAAATTTACCAGAACACATTCCTAAGCATCTCCAGTTAAAGAGCTTCACATACTGTAACGAAATCTATGGAACTACAACAAAGATTAAAAACAAGATGCCCTGTTAAATAAAGTAATTGATTTCCATATCGATATTTGACAATGTAAAAGGAACTGGATAGTAAAGCACATATTAAATATTCCTTTAGCATTCCAATAGTACTTAATTAAGCATATCTTAGAAAAAAAATCAATGACTTTACATTTTGTACTAGCCTAATTTGCTATTAACAATTGATTTCCATTTAACACAAGCCACTTGTGCCTCAGTAAAATAAACAAAATGGAAGTTACAACAAAATACACAGCCTTGTCCCTTCCAAATACCTCATTAACTTACAAATCAAATTTTGTATGTTTCAGGGTGTGGCATTTAATAAGTTAAACATCATGTAACAATTATTGACAGAAATGCATCTGTGTTATCTAACAAATGCAAGGAACTAAAACTAAGTTTCTTAGTATTGTAAAGAGAAAGAAGTTAGCTGTCAAGCATCTCACTCTAGGGTTTTAAAGCATTTCAAGGAAGCAAACTCTATTCCCTAAAGCTAAATGGATAAGGCTTACTTTTTAGAAAGGTTAATAGTACCCAGAGGTGCATTCTACCTTTCAAATATAAAAATACCCAGTTGTGAGGAAAAAGAAGAAAATATTGGTGGCCATCCTTCAGGGATATGGACCCTCCAGGACTTCATACTTTTCCATCTCTAAGAGGTGCCTCAATGCAAAGCTCACAAGAAGCGTATTATGTGCTATGTGCCAGCAATCTCTTCCACAGAAAATAAGTTTATGAGCAGGCTCATGCCTAGAGTCATGTCAATTGTTTGGGTCCAAAACATTTTTGGCTGAAAATTCGGATTGAGCAACACTGAAACATTTTGTAAACTCATACATTTTCACCAAATAGTTCTGAAAATTCTAAAATTTGAAATATGGATTTGACATTTTCAAAATGAAACTATTTGTTTCAAAATGTCTTTCAATTGTATTACAATTTTTTAAAACTTCATAACTGCTCAAAATACAATTTTGTTTTCAAGCTAATATTTCATTTTTTACTTCAAAATATATTGATTTAATCTTTCAAAATTTTGAAAAATTTAATGTTTTGGTTGACTCGAAAAAATTTCACCCTGAATTATTAGTGAATTGAGAAAGCAGTTATTTATCTGCAGGATCTGGAGTGGTGGAGGCTGTATCCCAGCAAAATAAATAGACTTTCATGGAATGTAAGTCAAGGCACAGTTTGAACATCATATTTTCCACATGCTCCCCGTATAACACATTCCTGCATAAGTTCCCATTTCTCTACTAGGGACATTAGACATTTTCCAATGTTTCCAGTGTAGGACAGTTCTTTTTTCTTTCTTTCACAAGAAGGGGAATGTGAAACATCAGAGACCTAAAAAAGAACAGAAAAGGTATGGACATCTTTCCCTCATTCTCTATATTTTCTAATAAACCTAGCAACACAAAATATAAGATAAGTGGTATTGATGGAACACATATGGATTGGTGTTAGCTTTGTGGCTTTTTTTATATCAACTTTATTAATTTGAGTAGTAAAGTCACTTTTTTTACTTCAGCAGTGAACAGCTAATTCACAAACAAATACTTGCCAATAATATTATGCCTCTCCCCAATCCTAGGGGATTTTTTTTCTATAGGGTTTTCTAAAACTAATACAGGTTGGACCTCCATGGTCTGGAAGCCTCCAGACCCAAGTGTCCCCAAAAAAGAGAGTTTTCCATATCGGGGGAGGTCAGGCCTCTCCTGAGGCTCCTCCCCTGGCCAGTGCGCTGCCCCAGCACACTTTCC